TTAAAAATTAGGATTATTGTTAAGAAAAAAGTACTCAAAATTAGTTAGACAGTTAATTTAAAATTTTAATTATAATTTATAATACATTAATATTAATGTTAATCAACTAATAAGGGAAGTTATATGGGAAGAATAACATGAAAACTGGATTATGTTCATAAATACAAGTATTTCCAAGTCAATATGCTAGATTCGTTTCTACATCTATCTCTGCAGTGAAATGAAGTTTACATCTTGATGAAATGTATTAATAACTTGCTATAAGTTAGCCTATAGAGGAAATTTATGGATTAATTGAGTAGGCAGGCATATGAGTTGGCTTTTAAGTACACTCATAAATTAGGTTATTTGGAGAATCCAGCTAAAAAAAAGAATTAGGCTAAGATTAGATTCAGCAACAAAGAATCAAAAACTTTAGAAAGTGGCATACTTGAGAACTATTAATGATAAACTTCTTAAAGAAAACATTACTCTTAGTAATTTGATGGATAGGCTATCAGATCACTAACTCTAAAGATCTTATAGGAAAAGATTAGTTCATCAAATAAGTTGACAAGATTTGAATATTAGAAATGATATCCATAGTAAATTAATTTTATTTCGAAGACTAGAATGAGACTATAAATGAAACTTCAAGAATTAATTAATCAAAATGGATAGGTAAGAATTTAACTTCATCAAAAATAAGAACTGAGGATTCACATTTCCAATACTAAAGGAATGCATAATTTAAATCTTTAATTTTCTAATATTTTGAAGTCAGTAAGAAGCTTTTAAAAACATATTGATTAATCAGTTACTTGAACTCTGTAGCAACAAAGTTAACCTGGCTTAATAATTAGTTAATGTCAAGGAAGAAGGAATTTTAGAAAGGTCTTTAGAAGATAGGTAGCAAAAGAAAAAAGTATCTGAGTAGTTTATAGGAATTATATAATGGTGGACATACTCTTATTATTTAAGGAAATTCAAAAATTTGCATATAAATTTCAGCCGCCATTAATTAAAGATCAATATAATAATTTAAATTTCTTACTACTTCAGTAAATTGATTAAACATATTATATTGTAAGTTTTATTTTAATGCAAACTAGAAATCTAATTGAAGATGCGATTTATACTTTTTTTAGAGGCAATATTATTTTTTAGTTTTATTTAGAATATTTAATATACAGAAAAGAAGATAAAATTATGATGGTTTTTGGCATCTTTATCTATTGTAAATCTTATCTTTGAAACAGCTTCATAAATTTCATTTATATATTAATAATCTCCTTTTGTAATTTGGTACTTATAATTATAAAATATTATTAATTTTTGCTAAATCTAAATTAATTACTGTTCTTTTTCTTTCCCATATCTATTATCCTACACAAAGTTAAATTTATGAATAAGCTTAAAAAAAGATTCCATTTAAAGTATCTTCTGCTAATAATATTTTCACCTATAGATATTTATAATTCTTAATTAATTTAATTATTCTATTTATGTATACTAA